GTCTTGTTCCATAATTTTTCAAGGAACTGAAGTGAAGCCTTAGCCCATAACTTTCTGGATCCTCCTCTTGGCCTTTTTTAAGATGGACATAACAATAGGCATTTAAGTGTGTTTTATTATAGCTGTATGTATCTAAAACCTGAGGATTTTGTAAGCACCATGTGTGCATTTGAGTAAATTGTGAACCCTTCTTAACACTGCTCTTGGTCTGAGACAGAATGACAGTGTTGTCAGCTGTATTAGCAACAAATAATATTATAAATTTTCATCTAGTTTCTTAGTTTTGGCAGATAAAATGTATTTGTTAATACAGTCAGAGAAGAAAGGATATTTATTTTCCTTGTTCTGAGTAATTCTTTTTCTCCACTTCTTGATTCATTTAAAATTCTTCTATTGGAGTTGCCAGGGACTTTGAACATTAAGTGATTACCAGTGATCTCCTTTTTGAATAGTGACTAAGACACTGTCTTGCTTGTAGAATGTAGATATTATATTAAAAGACCCCCGAGTGCCAAGAAAATCTATTTTGTAAGATTGCTCATGGAGATTTAGGCTTGAGTATTCTCTGAACTTCAATATGTAGGAAAAAGGTGGGAATTAAATGCAGCTTTTTTTTTGTCTGAATACAGGAACAGCGATAACAGGGAATTGTATACTGGGACTTGCGCCTTCCACTTAGTGGTCTTGTTCTATTAACTTTAGCACCAGAAATTACTAAATTTAAATATGGATATTATTAATAATGATTTGCTTTCATGTATCTCCTTGGGGTTCACCAAAGCATTAGGAGTCTGTGGGAGCATGTCTTTTGCCATACTAGGTTATGCCATTATTGGAAAACATGGAATCCTTTTCTGAGTAGCACTATAAGGTACCACGTCCAGGGAATATGAGTGCTCTGAAAGGAAGTTTTCTTTTTGTACTAAGGTTCTTTGCTTCCTATTTTATCATGCCAACAGATGGTAAAAGAGAGAAATAATTTTGGTCAGGCTAAGCTATCATTGCATACATTTCTACATTTATTTCTATGCTTTAGGGCTTGCAGGTAAGTGTGTTTTATTTTCCATCTTGTCTTCAGGAGAATAAACAAATTGAGTGTTCTAATGCTTCTTCATATATTTCTTATATCTCTAATAATTCTTTTTCTTTTTTTTCTGTAATGTCTCAATTTGGTCCACAATTTTCTTGAACTGAGCAGAGAAACTGTAATAAAAAGTGCTTCAACTGAGGCCTTATCAGTGCCAAGTGGAGTGGAAGGGCATTGCCTGTCTTTTTCTTCAGATGACATGCAAAGGAAGAGCTATTGATTTTGTCCCAGAGACAGTCTGAGTCATGGCTTTGTCAAAGACAGCTTTATTATACAGTGGTCAGCTCAGCTGAGATATGATTTTTGGCCAGTTCAACTAACACCAAGATCCCAAAGGAAAATCAGAAGGACAGTGCACCACTCGTGATAATTTCTGTGGTGACGGTGGCAATCTGACAATTTCTTGAAACATCTATCAATCCACTGCTACAATTAACTCTTACACTAGACACTCTGACTCATGACAGAGAGGTGGTACATCATCCTAATCTTCCTTTTCTGCTTTGGAAAGTAGGATACTTGGATGAAAATCAAAAGTTGATCTAATGCATTTTGTATGGGAGGAGGAAGAATGTGTAAGAAGGATACAGGTTAAAACAATCTCAGCTGGGCTGTGATCAGTGCTGATTTCTTTCCTTTTCCATGAGATGTGCTAAGGGAAGTGTAGAAGCTTGTTTGTGCCTTGGGAAAATGAAGTTAAGCAATGTTTTATTGATTGTGAAGTACCTCATCTGGGAAGAGCTTCAGAACGCTGTGAGAGAGCGTGTTGGCTATGGATATTGAGGAAGGGTGCTGCTGTATAGTACCAGTGCGTGGGGACAAGGTCATTTATGCTCATTGAGTGCGCGTATTGACTGTACATTCTGTCACGCTGACAAGAGCTTGTGAGTTTTTGACATAAGTATGGCATTTGTAAAGTTCTCATTTGACCTCTTACATGTGACAGTGTGTGGATGTAGCAAGAAGAGATGTTGCACAACTTTTCTAGTACAAGGTGGATGGACAATATGCAGTTAATAAAATCTGTATGTGTCTTCGTCTTCTTTGAAACACAGTATCTGTAAAGATATATCGCATTCTAATTTATATTCCCTGATATTATTATGGGCTTTGATAGTTAGATTCTACAATGACTTAAAAGTAGTCTCATCAATTTGGAAGGAAGCAGCTAATTGGGATCTCAGGCCACAACATACAGCTCTAATTGCATTCCTGTTGAGCATCTGGGCTCAAGTTTGCTTTTCTTTCTCCACGTAAGTTTTGTTTTTGACACCTCTCAGAAGGGTTTGGAAACTGCGAAGTCCACTGTGTGTTTGATTCGTACAGTGTTTCCATTAGGTCACATGCAAATTTTTTATTTTTTTTTTTAAATTTCCTTGAGATTCATATCACATAAGATAACCAGTTAACTATGTTTTTCCATTATGGAGATTTCATTTGGTAGATAGGAGAAGAGCCTACCTTTCTGTTTAGACAGAACCTTGACATAACTGATACTATCTTCTAGCTTGATCTGAATTCTTACTCAGGGTTGTTTCCCTTTGGGTTTATGACCAGTTTTACTTTGGTACTGGTATTTCTCCTTCATCTCCATCCTTCCTGTTGATGTTCTTTTTTCAAATATCAAAAAATAGTTTAAGCACAAATGCAGCTTTACTAGTACCATTGGAAAACTAGCACAAATACAGCTTTACTGTTGCTATGTTGAGAAAATGGACATTCAGAAAGACAGAAGGGTAATAATTTATAAGAATTGTATAATTCTTGTCTTGGCACCCTTCTGCATTTGTTTACATTTTCATTTCTGACTATGTCAGCCCAACAGTTCCTTCCGTCAGCCTTTAAGCAACCATTTTCGCCTTGTGCTTTCCTCTAGCCAAATGTTTGTTCTTCTTTAACTGTTGACGTTATGCATGGATGACTTGGAAATGTTAATGTGCCATGCTCATGTTGTATTTATATGTGTGTTAATAATTTCTCTTTTCTGGCTGTCTTAGACACAAATCGACCTCAAACTCCCTTCAGTCAGGTCATTAAATCACACAGAGCTGAGTGAAATAGCAAAGAAAGGTTCAAGATAAGTGTCTCTTCTGTACTGAGTGTTTGGCGCCTTTTAGTGTGGAAGTGTGTCAAGCAGCTGAATTTCTCTCAGCATAGGGCAACTGCCTCCCTTAAAAAAAAGTCTGTCAAAGAGGAAACAGCAAAAGCAACTTTACAGTTCTACCTGCATTGGAGGTGATTGCCAGAGATAAACATGTTTCATCTGTAAGGAAGACAGGGTCAGCTTGTTTCAACTCCCATGCTTAGCAGACACCACCAGGTACTTCTTTGGTTAACCATATGACATACACTTCTTCAGCTCCCAGGTGTTGCTTTATCTTACTTTATCAAATATTGAAGAAGCCGTGTGGATGTTAAATATTGTCTTGTGGATGTTAAATATTGTCTGTATTTAGAAGATAGCATTTACTGTGATATATACTGTTGTGTTTGGGTATGGGTGTTTTGTTTTTTTTTTTAAATGGAAGAATAGTCCTGTTTTATTGCATATTTCAGCCCTTTAGTAATGGAATGATTTTGCACGTATTATTTTTTTTCTTAAAGCTTTTAACTAGGAGAATCATCTTTAACCCATTTAATCTCTCATCCAAGAACAGATGTCTAAAAGACTTTTTGACTTTCAAAGGTTCGGTGTCACTAAGTGTGTCACATAGATCAACAACGTTTCCCTGCCTATTCCCAAACTTCCTGTTCTGTTTTGTGCCAGAAATGTAAAATTTTGAATGTTTGTATATTTGGACAGGCAGAAGGTGACTATAACATGTAAATGTTTTAAATAGTAAAGTAAAAATGGGTAGGTTTTGGATATGTTGTGGCAAATCATTTAACTAGTGTTGACAATAAACCAGTTGCCATACTGTAGAAAAGCTGAAGAAATCAGAATTTCTTCCATTTCCTCAGCGTGGCTTTGAATTTGTGAGGTGATAATGAATTCTGAAGAGGGAAATTCTAATAAGGAAAAAAAATAAAGTAGGAATGAAAGGCTGATGATGGAAAAGACATACCCTGTTATTGGGAGATGACAGAGATAGCTAAAGGGGGCAAGTATTGTGTGGCAAGAAGGCAGAATGAAAGTAGCTGTGGGAGGAAAGCCAGTGCTGTGTAATTGTGTTAATATATTGATAAATGACATTGTATGTATGTGTGTATAGATATGTATTTGCACATATTTATTTAAACAGCACCAATAGCATATAAACCGATAATATGCACAGTAATACAGTGACTATATTACTATGAGAAGAAATGTAGATTGTATGAAAAATAGGTAATCATTATACATTTTGTAATAATGACACATATTGCAATAATTTAGTAAGTAGTAGTGTAATTTTAGTACCAGGCAAAATACTGCTCTTTCTATTCACAGAAGAATTTGGTTTAGCATCAGCATCCTAATGCGTTGATGTAAAAGTAGTTAGTTTAGTTGTTGGGGCAATTGTTTGTCCACTGAGAGTCATCTTGTAATGGAGCCTTTTGTCACAGTGGCTTAAGAATGTTTCTACAATAAGTAACAGCTTTAATCCCTTCAAATTTTCCCTCATTCTGCAAATACTCACTACATACGTAAGATTTCATGGGTTTCATATTTTTCTTAACGCTTTCTGACTCAGTATTTTATTGTTGCTGTTGTTTATAGGAGAGCATTACTGTACCTTTGAATTCTAGGAATCAATACATTATTTTAAGGATGCAAGGACAATGTAGGTTTCATGTTGTAAGCTTTTTATTGAAGCCTGTGTTGGATGATGCATTTCAACAGCGAAGAAAAAAATGCAGTGAACTCTGCGTCTAAAATATGTCTGATTGTTTAAGGTGTGCCATCTTAAAAGAAATGTTGTTTTATTTGCAGAAAGCCATATTCTTGAGGATGTAAACAAGTGTATCATTGCACTGAGAGAGCAAAATGTGGATGATTTAGATCGTGCAGCAGGTGCAATCCGAGGGCGTGCTTCAAGAGTAGCTCATATTGTTTCGGGTGAGATGGACAACTATGAGCCAGGGGCTTACACCGAAGGAGTGATGAAAAATGTTCAATTTCTGACCAAGAATGGTAAGTCTGATTTCTAAGCTATGTTCTCAGTTTCTTTAGTGTTATAAACTTTCCTTTATGTGCCACAGTTAAAGCAAACCCTGTGATTCTCTGATTTAATGCACTAATTACGCACTAATGATTCACTATATGGTCTCTTATCTGCTTTCATCATGCTATCCAATTATTATGATACCATGCAGTTCAAAACTAATTTTTAAAATTTTACTTGGATTACGTCATTTATCTAAGGTTTTTTAAGTTATGGAAGACTTTTACCAGAGTTTTTAAATAAAAGCAAGTGGGGACTTGTAACTGATGAGGCAGTAGCTTTCCCTGTGTGGTGTTGGCCTCACCACATCTGTTCTAAGCAGTTGAAAGGCAGACTTGGAGAAAGAGAAGCAGGCTCATGATTTCTGTGTACTTACCACTTTAAGGACTGTTGAGCAGTGGTTAAATATCCCCAAATATCTACAATTCTGCTATGCAAATTTGGAACTTCTTAAAATGGTTAGTATACCCATTTTCTTTTTCATGATACTGAAGAAGAGGTATCCTGTACCCAATATCCCTGTACTGGCAGCAGGGGTGTAACTGTGCTCTTTTATAAGTGATCTCTGCTTGTTCATGTAAACAGTTGTTCATATCAATGAATCTGTGGCCTTTCATAGTGTATACTTAATTAAAAAAGTTATCTGTGGAGCTCCCAGGACTTCATATTTTCGGTGGTTGCAAGTCTAATAGTTGGGCAGTTTAAAAATTGCCATTAAGAAGTTTTCTGGCAAGTCTGTACATCTCTGGAATACAGGATTTAGCTTCATGAACTCAAAGGTCTAAATCATAGCTCTGTCAGTCTAAACAAGTTTCTAGTGTATTACATTTGACTGGCATTTACTTTATTTTACTGCAAGAAAAGACAGGAATTCTGTTTGAGCTCTTTCTTAATCAGTTCAAATGGGTCCAGGACAGAACTGTCTTCATGTGAAACAAGAGTGAACTGACACTGCAATGAAGTAGCAAGAAGGGACAGAATAGTGAGAAGAGTTTGAAATAGACTTGGCTGTTTTTATCTCCTCCTCTGACATTTTGATGAGACAATGTGAGAACTTTCAACATGACGTTCTTTTCTCATAACTTCTGAAAGTCCTATGACAAATAACCAAGGGAAGCAGCAATTATAGGAAAGCATAGTTTTGATTCCTGTTTAAAAGCTGAGCCCTTCTTTCTTGAGACTGGTAGTGTTTAAACACATTAGGAGTTGACACTGATTTCTGTTCTGTTGCCTTGCTTTGACAGTAATATATAATGTACCTCAATCCGCGTATCTCCAAAAGACAGGAAGACATAAAACTGGTTTGGGTTGAAATGTTTGCCTCTGTCAAGGGATATCAAGCATGGTGTCATCTGCTCAGATGTGTTTGCAATATTTCAAACCTAAGAATCCACTATCTTCACATTAGTCAATAGGAGTGGAAAAAAGAAACATGTACTTTTCATTATTACCTGCATTTATATGATCTGCAGTGAACAGACATCAAACTGTGCGAGGTTTTTTTGGTTGCTTGGTGATTTTCTTCTGTTTTGTTTGTTTGTTTTAACTGTTTCAGCTTACAGGGAAAATGCAGATAGGCTGCAGCCCTCAGGTGTAACCCAACACATGCTATCACTGCTGAGTCTTTCAGGAGCCAGCTGATTGCAAGGCGATACTTCAGTGGGAGAGAACTGTGTATTTATGCTGCAATTAGCTCCTAAGTTAGCTTACATGAGTAACCTAGGGCAGTGAAGTGCATCCTTTATGCCCAGTGAAAAGGTAATGTGTTACTGAAGAGAAATTATTGTAGGTGGAGTATAGAGTTGGTGAAAATAGAGTTATAGAATAATAGTGTACATGGAAATTGCAGCGAAATAAAAACACAAATGAAAAAGAGAACAGGAGCCAGAAACGGGAATGGTGTGAATTGGAGGTAACAGGACAGAGAAATTGTGCATAAAGAGGAACAGATACATTTACTGTTTGTTACAACAAAGACAGGTTAAATTGTAGCGCATATATTGAGGTAATTTATAAGAAAAAGGTTAAATTCTCTGCATTACAGTACATTCAAGAAGAGAGCATAAGATCACTGAATCTGTGTCTCTTCAGCTGGAAGACATCAGATGTATTTGGGATGGTAAAGTGAGCTATTCAACAGCTCACTGCTCAGCATAATACAGTGGGTATTAAAAACTGGTGCTTAATTTCTTAGCTCAAGTTGTGTGGTCCTGTTCAGGTACAAGTTGTGGACAGCTGAATGGATCCCTACAGCACCATACAATGGAGCGTCTGTTTTCTCAGGCTTTTGTTACACCTCTGCTCCATTTTGCCTCTTCCCTTTCCTACAACAAGAAGAAAAACCTCAAGCAAACTAACAACGAGGCCCTGTAAGAGCACCATTTACATTGTGGAATTGAGCTCTTAGAAGTTAGGTGATAGCAGAACTGAAGTTGTCTTTGCAGCCTGATTTGCACGCCATGTGCGTATGACATTGTGATTTTGTGATGATACACAGTTATGTTACAAAAGAGCTGCTTAATTCAGGTCACTGGATAGACCTGCTTTAGACATATGCCAGGGTCACATATTAGAGGAGGCTCGTGTCCATAGGATCAATTTGGAAAGTAACGAAGCAGAAGACTGCAGGAAGATCATGTATGATCTGATAGTGAGGACAGTTCATTTGGACTGCCAGAGTTCCTGTGGGATGCTGCGTCAGTTCATGAGGTTACAGCTAATTGTGGCATGCGGGAATGCTTCCCAGCTCCTGGTGTGAGTGGGACTTTGTCCTTGTTCTGCATCACAATGAGACAGGGACATATCTGTCCCCTCTTGTTCTCAGGTTTCCATGGGAAGGGCATGTGTGTGTGTGTGGGGGGGGGTGGTGTAGGAAAGAGCCGCAAAGCATTCTGGCCAGCTCCCTGCTCTAGATGATTGGAAGTCAGCATTGAGAATCATGCCCTGGAAATGCGTGCCCCCAGGCCTGTGTAAAACCTTTATGGACCACTGGAAAAAAATGTGTTCCATCGTGTGGTATGTATACTCTGTGCAGACAGTTGTTCGAACCAGCATTTCCTGTTTTGATTTTACAAGTACTAAGGTTCAGGCTGTGTTCTGGTATGGTTAAGGCTGTGAAAATGTTAGTACAGGTACCTCTCTGTTATTCCTAGTGTCTGGCACTGTTGATTAGATTGAAATATGCAGATTCTTGCATTTTGCAGGGTTTGTATACTGTTGCACAAAAGCAAAATTAAACCTTTAGAAACACTGTTTATAAAACCCCAAGGTATTTCTACTTCAGAACTGGAAAGGGTAACCTTGTACCGTATTTCTAAATGCCAGTCTACTCTATTATTTCACTGCCTGCCAGAATCTGCACCAGTTTAAGTAAACAATTTATATTACGGCATATAATATATGTTGAAATAGTAAATAATATATAGTAAAAAAGCCTGTATTTATTGTAAATTTTGTCTACAGTTTTGCGTTCATGTCAAAGTATAATGACCCACTATATACATATATACATATGTATACACATATATAAATCCTCTAGTTATTTAGATCTAAGGATCGTGTAAAAAGCAAGGAAAAGGGTGGAGACAAAGATTATATTAATTGCCTTAAGGATCTATTGGTGAGGTATCTTTCTCTGAATCACTGGAGTTTTGAATCAGGTTTTTTTTTTTATTCTATTCTGGTAGTGCTGTTGGAATTACAGCAAACCATTGTCCACAGCTTCTTACAACCAGAATTATGAATTACCTTGTAATTCACATAGGGATGGGGCTCAACTTTAAGTTTAGGAATAGTGATGGAGTTGTATTTGGAATGGAAAACAAATTTAACTGTTCTCAAATTAAAGGTCAGCTGTAGGCATTGTTCTGAGACAGATGCTGGCATGACACACAATACCGTTATCACTCCCTTTGAAGTGTGGATTAAGACAGAATGGTGATATCAAATGTAAAATTGAACATGGATTTGAAAATTTCTTCCTGCCTCGAGAAAGCTTTATAAACCTGTGTCCATAACTGTGAATTTCAAATACTTTCTCAGTACAAAAAGGGAGTAAATCACATTCTCTACAAGTACCTGTATGTCTAAATTGAATAAGCCTCGTTGAAAGTCATTAAAACTGTTATTCATGTGGTATTTGCACCCATAAACTATGAATTAATAATTCAATTAGCTGGAATCTTAACAGTTCTAGAGATTACTTATCTTCTGATGTGATACCAGCAATGTTACTTGTAATGCGGGATTGAAGGGCAAAATACTTAAGAGGTGTTTTTTATTAAGTGAGTCATCATCTGGGCAAGTACAAATTTTTAGACATTACAGAGTGAAGAAAAAACCTCATATCCAAACAGTGCCCATGACTTATTCACGAGGCTGAAGGAGTTTTATGTTGGGTATTACATAATAATAATTCTTCGACATAGCACGGGGATACCAAGGGCAATTTGTGGCCCCCTTATCTCCTTGAGAGCCATGCAAGCCTATTACTTCTACTTAAAGATTTTCCTCAAATTTCCAGCATTTATGCATGGCCAGTGTGTACATTTTGTTCCTATGTCAACATGAACAATTCTTCTGCCTCCACCTAGATTAAAAAAACTTGTCCCCAGTGGGCCAAACACATTAAACTTTTAGACCTGTTATGGAGAGATTGGGTTTATGTTCAGTGTTTTTCTTTAAAACTTTCATGAGTTTCAGTTACCTTTTTTTGAAGTCCTTTCCTACGATTTTGTCCTAAAAGTAATTCTAGTCTTCCTGACCCAGCTGTCTTCTGTATTGCCAACATGTCTTAACATCATACTGTCTGCCAGTGTCACTAATGAATTTATTTTTTTTGGTTATTTCTTGGTCCCAAGATTGTTATTTTGGCCACCTTCCAGAGTCTCGTCTCACTGCATAGCCCTTTCAGTGTGACCAGTTGTCTAGCCTCCATGCTAACACTGAGCTACTCCACCTGAAACAGAGC